CTCGTATATATATATATATATATATATATATATATAAATAAACCCCCCCCCCCCCCCCTTGAAACTTCACATCCACGGAGCAAGGTAAGCTCGGCAAGGAGACAGCCAGCGAGTTCAAGTCTTTGATACTCAAGTAGATCGTGAAAGCGGTTAATCAGCTAACCTTTTTTTTCCCACTCCCGAAATCGCATTGGCATACCGGTGCTCTGATACTCGCTTATTTCACTCATTTCAGCTTCCTCTGTTTTTTTTGTTTTTTACTTGTTTTTTTTGTCACTGCAAGTTAATACACCCTCAGATTGTCTTTGAGAGAAAAAGAAAAGAAAAAAGAATTGCTGCTTGATCAAACCGGCTACTTCGAAGTGCAAGGGATGAGGAAGCCTGCGGACGGGCAAAGCTTCCAAATATTTTTCCAGAGTGAACTCTCCTCTGCCGTAGCCTATTCATATCTTCATACAAGTGGACAGATAGAAGAATTAGAGGCCTAGCGCTCGTAGCGCGAAGGCGGTCCGCGAAGGCGTATCATATCTCTCACTACGCGCTATTCTCCTTCTTATACAGAAGGGGCTCGTTCGCCTTTCCCCATACACCACGTTCTTCATCTCGACGTCCGGCGCTTTCCTGTCGTGAAATTCCTGCTCCAATCTCGCTGCTATGACTTTTTTAAGGTCGGTCGGTGATTTCCCTATCATGTGTGCAAGCGGCAACTCGCAGTCCGGACACCCCCCCATCTCCAATTGGTCGTCAGACACGTCTCGCAGCAGGATCTTGCCATGCCGGTACCACCCAAGACGGGGCTCGTAAATGAACGTCACGCTCTTCAAGGAGGGGAAGCCGTACAGCCACGGCGCCATCCAGTCCCCGCCCCAGCCTAGGAACCGCTGGTGCCAGATATCATGCCGCACGCCGAAACCGCCCGCAATTTTGGTGCTCCACGGCAGCGCGAGGTGCTGCATGTCTTCTAGAGCCGAGTGGTGGAAAGAGTGCCCGGTAAACGAGTGATCCCACCAGACATGCACGGAGGAGTTGACTCTCAAGTCGCCCGTCGCTTCCACGGGTTCGTTTTCTGGAAGACTGTAGGTAGGGAGGTAGATGGTGTCGACATCGGGACTCCAGAACGTCGAGCCCGGCGCCCGGCAGCTCTGGGGCAATGGGCCTGCTTCAGCGTTCGGGAAATTGAGCCTGAGATATTTCAACCCTACTGCGCGGGACTCATGGTTGATGTGCAGGATCAAGGGGATGCAGGGTGAGGAGGTGCTGTATATGGATTTGTGGAACGCGTAGAGGCTTTCCCCAACGTCTTCTGTAAAGTTCTCGTGGCCGACGTGAAGTTTGGGCACGCTCATGCGTAGGACTTGAGGTTCAGGCATGGCTAATACCCAGATCATATCCCGGACTTCCGGCGGCAGCCCGCCAAATGAAGGAGATTGTTTTGCCAGCAGATCCGCCTTGGAGCATTTTTGAGACGAGGAGGCAGAGGATTCGTTCCTTGAGGGATGCATTGGAAGTTTTCCTCGATAAATATGATCAAGAGAAGAGATATTCATGTTCAAAAGAATGCTTAAATAGAGAATGAAGTGTGCGCTGGCTTCTCGGAACCTACCCTGTATAGGGAAAGACGTGTAATGAAACGCTAAAAAAACATCTCAGCATAGATAGAGCATGAAGAAGAATACGAAGAAGAAGAAGAAGAAGAAAATAGGGGGAAATAGCAGTCTTGGTAGGCCATATGGAGGGGAAGGTGCCCCAAATGAAGACCCAACGTTGAGAATTGTGGAGGGGAAGGGGCCTTCCAACTAATGGCCGAACCTTGAGAATTGGGAAATCAGATGGCAAATCCACATCGACTGCTGCAAGAACGAGTGACACCGGAGAGACTGCGCTCACTATGCAAGATTCTCGAGAAATTGAATGAGTAACGGGCGCGGGACTCGGTGATGGCTGTGGACAGCACTCCATGCAGATGCTGTTCGGGATAGACGGAGGAGCTCTGTAATCTTCACGGAATTTGGTGAAGTTTAGTGTCACACTGCGCGTAACTACTGCCGCGGTAGAGTAAGTCTAACTGGCACGTGGGGGCCTCCGTTGGAAATCCCTCCGGGTGGATATCACGAGGAATATTTCAGATTTTGTACCACTGGCAAAACTGGGTGATGGGTAGAATAGGCGATGGCCGCGGCGAACTCCATTGGAATAGGCAATAGGATGGGGCTGAAAGAAAGTTAGCGGGTCCTTATGTGAATTTGAGAGTGAGGAAGTGAGGAAAACGAGTCAGTCGCTTGTTTGCTTGAGGTAAATACAAGAGACCGATTCCGGTCTTATATAGACTATAAGGGTGGTTCCGGAGCCTTCTTAGTGATAGGCTTAAAAATTGGAAGCTGTGCTGTTATTGTTTAATGGGTGGGAGCATCCCCCCCCCCCCTTTTAAAAAAAAATAAAAATAAAAATAAAAATCGTGGCTTCCATTCATTCCTACCTCTAAAGCCTCTGTTGCCACAAAACCACTCGAAAAGGGACGATAGCCCATATAGAATAATACAACCCACACCACTCGTATTCCCATCCCATCCCTCTCCATCTACCACGTCTCTTGTTTATACCTTCCAATATCTTCCAGCCGAGCCAACAAAGCACTAGCACCTGCCCGGTCCGGCTTCGTAGGGTGGTGCTCCTCCACCACATCCACGAAGGCCTCTCTGACAGCGTTCGGCATGCTGCCCGAGCTACCACACACGATGATAACCGCCGCGCATTCAAATAGTAGCTCAAAGATCATCTCGCCATGCTCGCGGATCCTTTCTTGTACATACACCTTTCTACCCGTCGGATCATCACGCGAAAAAGCCGTGACAACATGCAGCAGGTGTGTCAGATCCTTCCATTCGTTCTCATAGAAATAGTCAGCTTTCTCGTTGCGGCCACCGAAGAAAAGGTATATTGGTGAAACAGGGTAGTCATTTGCGATCTCAGCGCGATCCCAGATCAGAGAGCGGCAGGGTGCGAGGCCAGTGCCGGGGGCAATCATGATGAGCGGCTGGCGAGAGGCCATCTGGATATCGAGGTAGAGGTCCGTGGGGTTGAAATCGACCATGATCATGGACCGCTCCTCCTGCAGCGCTGCGAGCCAACGCGTACACAAGCCTCGCCGGACTTTCTGGAGCACAGTCTTGTAGTGTACGATAGCTACTAGGAGCTGTACTCTCGTACATACTGAGTTGTTGTACGTGACGAGCTGCTTTCCACCGCTTGAGATACTGTAAGGGCGACCGCGGATGGTGGGGAAGACGGTAGTCACGATCTGGAAAGGGAGTTTGACGGAGCTGAAGTCTTGGAGGACTTCCAGGATGCTGCGGCGGGGCCGGGTGGCGTAGTCGAAGAACTCGTCTGTGAAAGCTGGGTTGGAGAGTTCGAGCAGACGTTCTTTGTGGGTAGGATCTATGGTATAGCATGCAAGGAGGTCGAGGACTTTGCGTTGTGGAATGGCGGTTATGTCGAGGTTGAGTGTGAGGAGCTGTCTCAAGGTGGAGTTGTACCTGGGGTAGAAGTTTGTAGGGCTGGGTTTGACGTGAAACATATCGTAGAAGTCAGTACCGGGGTCACGCTTGAATTGGAGAGGCACATCTGCTACTGTGGCCCAGTCCATGAGATCGATCAGGGCTTGGACGTCTTCGGGGAAGTTTTGGGGGTATACGATCAGGGTGTCGCCAGGCTTGTAGCGTACATTTCCGCCGATCATGAGTGTGATCTCGCGGACATCTTGCCAGTGTGATTCTGGGGTGAGACGTTTGTTCTTCTGAAGGTAGGCCACACGTCCTGGTACTGGGGCTAACTGAAAATTTTCTTGGCTTATTGGTTTATCGACCTCGAGATCCTCTCGATCGAAGGGTTCCTTGAGCATGGGACATGGAACATCCGGCGTTTGGTCTTCGGGTGGCCGGTAGATCATCATCTCGGGCTCGGGCTCGGGCTCGGACTCAGACTCGATTTTGGGATTGGGATGTACAGGTAGGTCCTTTGGTGGTAACTCTGTTTCTCTTGAGGCCGGGTCCGGGTCCGGGTCCGGGTCCGGGTCTGGGTCCGGATCCTTGGGCGTTGTTAGATCAGTGGGAGTATCGCTCGCTTTACCGGCATTGAGTAGGGGCAAGCTTTCGGGTTCTTGTTCTGGTTCTGATTCTGGTCCTGGTTCTGGTCCTGGTTCTGGTTCTGGTTCGGCAATCTGATGTGTCCACTTGAAAGGGAGGAGCGTATCAGGAGGTATTGGGGTCACTCCTTCTGGTAGAGGGAATGTGGTTTGTATATGAGCTTTGAACTCCATGGACCAAGGCAGGAAAGCACCGTCAATACTATGTTATGTCGGTCAGATGACTGCTGCGGAAGTGATGGGTGAGTTATGTGATAGCGGAGGATCAAGATGGACGATGGACGATGGACGATGGACGATGGACGATGGACGATGGAGGTCCATGTTCCCGCGCCACGCCAACACTGGGAACCAAAGCAGACTCACCCGTCGGCATGCTGCTCATCAGCCTCGCCTCTCGGAAACAATTCTTTCGCGCCCAGTCCCTGGAATCGTACATGCAGTAATCTCGCCGCTCGGTTGAACCTGGGAATCGTGAGTCACATGACCTTGGGTTGGGTTGCGCTGCATCGAGGCGCTATACTTCGCGTAAGAGCTATCCCCCAGCCCAAAAGTCGTATACTGCACACCATCCAAATAATCCTTTGGTAGACTCTTTTTCAGAAGACTCGTCCACAGCCTCCTCGAGTTCTTCGGAAACTCGCCTTGGCCTGCCGTCGAAGTCACGAGGACGACCAATGTCGCCTTGCGTATCGAGTCTATCCTCAGGCTGGGGATCTTCTTCTACTTGTTCGTGAGCATTATATTCATTCTACGCTGTAGCAAAACTAGTAGTAGGTAGAGGTCTCGACATACGACCTGCCCAGATTTCATCTTCTTCTCCACGACATCGGCAAAGTCGTCCATCTCGGTAACGATGGTCTTGAAATGCAGACGCTCGGTGATATCCCCCAGTCGGTCGGCCACCTCGTGGCTGTTTCCTGTTTCGGAGCCATAGAGAATGAGGGCGTATCTATCGGGAATTTGGCCACTGGGTGTTTGGGTCATTGTTGCGGTGGTGGATGGTGGGTGGGGATGATAGAGGATCGAGGAGGAGGAGGTGGAGCAGAGGTGGCGAGCGTCACGAATTCGGATAGTAGTAGTAAGTTTGATATTGGGACGAGAGACGGCCGGGATTGGTAGACAATGGATCCAGAACCAGAACCATTTCTCAAGTCGACCTAATAGGTTTTTTGTGCATGCAGTAGTTACGGTACTTTTTTTTTACACGCGCGGTGACATAGTTGTGATCCGTGTCAGAGTTTCAATGTAGCTGTTTGTCAAGGTTTCAATACGCGATAGTTTGAGGTCACGGGACATGTATGTTTGATAGGTACCGGTAAGCCGTACCTATTGCCATGGTTGTCTACTGTATCATACTTATATATCCTTCCTAAACGTAAAACACGATGTTTCTACCACTTGATTGAGTTCTTCCAGTTCCATCCTGTTTGAACCGGCCAGCGAGAGCCGCCGTAACAACAGAAAAACCTATACAGACTTCAGGATAGTAGCGGCCTCGACGTTTGTGTATCAGTTGTAGCCGTCGGTCGTGACCTTGAGAAAAAAAAAGGGGGCAGGCAGTACAGAGTCCGTATGTGTAGCAACCCCTTAATCTCGTGCAGAATCTCCGACGAGGCCATCCTGCAGCCTTATCGACAACGACGAGTCTGGGTGTCAGGGCTTCGGAACGGCGGACCGGCGGAACAGTAGTCGGTCAATAGTAGGTGGCTGTTCCATTCGATCTTGTCTTACTTCACGTCTTTACCTAAGATCATCACCTTGAAGGTATGGTATCTGCCTCTTGCTGTAGCAGAGTTTGGAGGTTGATTGAGGTCATGTCACAGCCTGTACGACCGGGTAGAGAAACAAACCACAGCTGCTGCGGGTTCCCACTGTCCTCTGCCCACTGCCCACTGCCCACAGACCGCAGCCTTGCGGTTTTCTAGAATTGACGTGCAGGTCAGCGTGATATCCAATGATCCGCTAGCGCTCCAAGCATTTTTGCTTTGGTGCGGGCTCGAGTAATTCTCCGTACTGTATCGGATTTTGGTGGAGCTGAACGGGCCTGTGTTGGATGATTGACAGGTGCCGGCAGGGGTGAGCTGGTGTGATACTGGATGATAGACGAAACAAGTAAAAAGAAATAAGTCAACGAAAGTGAGGCCGATATGATCAAGTTGGGCAAGTAACTGGTATGTACATATGTGTATATGTGTATATGTGTATATCCATATACACATGTACATAGACATACAAAGAGAGACTTATCGTGAAAAAGGAGCCCAAGTACCGGTACAGGCATAAACAAAAGGAGGTCTCCGTCTCTACGGAGGTAACTCACTAGGTACCGTAGTACTATCACCTTATATAAGCCTTACCCCCTACCCCCTGATCCATTTATTCTGGCGGCAATCAATGATCATTGGATGAGGTGTCTCGCCCTCGTCGCTGCCCCCACACGTTAGCGAGAAGTGGGCCATACCTGATCGGGACTAGAGCGATCAAAAAAAAGAACCCGGTTGCTAGTCCAGCCCCAGGCTAGGAATGATATATTTCGCACGCGCAGCCTCCCTTCCTTTCCCTTCCTTTCTTCCCCGACTACACCACAACAATCAAAAGTTCATCAAACTCCATCCACCCCCCCCCAAACAACTTCCCCCCCCCCCCAAACAGTCACCTAGGGCACCTAGCTACCCTATTCCAACTCCCCCCTTTGTTCAAGAGTCAATTCTACACTCAGCGAACGTCGACAATCCACGCCGAAAATCCATACCCTTCAGTCCAGTTCTTCCAGCCAATCCAACCCAACCGCAAATCACCATGTCTACTACCATCGTGGAGAAAGTTACTGACGCCGTCAAAGACGTTACTGCCGCTCTTAGCAACACCTCAATTTCCGATAAGCCCGCTGCCGCCGAGCCCACCACCGGTGCTGACAAGTCTGCCTCACCTGATGCAGTCCTTGCCAGCGCCGCTGAGGGTCGCAGACTCTATATCGGTAACCTCGCATATGCGACGACCGAGGGGGAGTTGCAAGCCTTCTTCTCGGGATACCTGATGTAAGCACCTCCTAGGGCCCCGCTCCCCGGCCTGCTCTATTTTGCTCTTCAGTGTTCATGCGTGACTTCTTTCAACAACAAAGGCAGCTACGATGTGCGTCGTGCCTGCAGATGGCAAGACCTTCACCTTCAGCACCTTTGACTGTCCCTCACTCTTTTGGGCACGGGGAACGGGCTGTTTGCTACATTGGCTGACATTTCTCTCTACAGCGAATCCACCTCCATCCCAAAGAACCCCCGTACCGAACGCCCTGTTGGCTACGCCTTTGTCGACCTCTCTACCCCCAGCGAGGCCGAGCGTGCCATTGCCGAGCTTTCTGGAAAGGAGATCCTTGAGCGCAAGGTCTCTGTTCAACTTGCCCGCAAGCCCGAGTCAAACGCCGAGAAGGCTGAGGGTGCTGCCAGCGGTGGTGAGGGTGTTTCGGGAGGGGAGAGCCGCCGTAGACAATCTGGACGTGGACGTGGTCGCGGTCGCGGTCGTGGAGGCCGTGGCGGACGTAACCGTGGTGAAGTAAGTTTGTAAATCTAAGTGCAGTTTGCGTTCTCCTGCTGAGCAACTATCCAGTCCCGAGGCGAGGATGGTGCCGAGCTTCCAGCTGGAGAGGCCGCCCCGTTGACCGATATCACCAACACCACCGAGACCAAGGACAAGGAGGTCAAGGAGCCCAAGGAGAAGACCGAGAAGACCGAGAAGGCTCCTCGTCCTCCCCGTGAGAGACGCGAGCGTGGCCCTCCAGCCGATGGAATCCCATCCAAGAACAAGGTCATGGTGGCCAACCTCCCATACGACCTTTCTGAGGAGAAGGTACGTCTAAGTGCTCCTTCCCAAATTGGCAAGTCTAACAATTCCACACAGCTCAAGGAACTCTTTGCCGCCTACGAGCCATCCTCCGCCAAGATCGCCCTCCGCCCCATCCCCCGCTTCATGGTCAAGAAGCTCCAGGCCCGCAACGAGCCCCGCAAGGGTCGTGGCTTCGGCTTCGTTACCCTTGCCTCTGAGGAGATGCAACAAAAGGCCGTTGCTGAGATGAACGCCAAGGAGATCGAGGGTCGTGAGATTGCCGTCAAGATCGCCATTGACAGCCCAGACAAGACCGATGACGATACCAACGCTCCAGCTGCCGAGGCTGCTGCTGAGGACACCAACGGCACCAACGGCACCGCTGAGGCTACTCCTGCTTAAGCAGCTGTGCCATTTTGTACGATGTGAGAGGTGCTACATTCCCACAGACAACACAGCATTTTACCCTGCTTTTGGACGCACCGGTCGAAGGAGGACAGTCCCCTGCTACATCGGACTGGTCCGGCTGCCCTGATTTTTCTTTAGGTAGACCTCATTCTCTACGGAGAACTTCCCGCCGGCTTTAGATAGATGGTCTCATGACTGACTTCTTCGTCATTGGGATCTCCTTCGCGTGCAATGCAGAACCGGAATGACTCTCTTCAAAGCCATGTTTTATCACCATTTCTCTGGGATTCTCAGAGCTGTACAACTAGATATTTTTCTCGATGTGCTCTCGGGAAGGTTAGGGGGTGGAAAAGTTATTCATTGATGGCAGCTCGTCGATAATAAAATGGCACTTTGAAGCATTCTATTTTTCCCTTGAACCCTATTACTTTGAGATTTATGTGATCCAATGATGATGTCGCCGCACTCCGATAATGTATTTATTGCAGTCGTGTGAGAGGGCACCTCAAGAATCCGAAACGTAGCCTTACTCGCCCATCTGCCAGCCGCGCCCCTCGTCGTTCGGCTGGAACACGCTAGCTCCAACCCGTCGAACTTCAAAACACTTGGTGCAGCACCCACATTCACCCTTAAAGATCCAATTCGCGATACCTGCATCTTCGATCCCATCTTCTGTGCCCGCATCTCTGTATCGGCGAGAGATCATTGAAGAAAATCAAAACTCCTGGACTGCGACCCGACCTCGCCCACCGACCCTCACCATGTCCAGCAAAGCCATGTGGGAGGTGGACCCGGAGACTCGATCAAAGGTACATACCAGCCTCCTCTGCTCTACTCCAGCGCAGAAAAACGTTTCTAATCACATCCCGGCTCGGCATGTAGCTTCTCGAGATTCAAAAGGTCAACGGCAACGACCGCTGCGCGGACTGCGGTGCCCCTTCCCCGCAGTGGGCGTCGCCCAAGTTCGGCGTCTTCATCTGCCTCAGCTGCGCGGGTGTGCATCGCGGGCTGGGTGTGCACATCAGTTTCGTGCGGAGTATCACTATGGATGCGTTCAAGGCGGTGGAGATTGAGCGGATGCGGTTGGGGGGCAATGCGGTGTGGAGGGAGTTCTTTGAGAAGGCCGAGGGGAACGAGATGGCGGGGATTACGTGAGTCCTGCTCTACTGCTCGGAATCGGGGATCTGCGGGAGAGGGCTGGCTTAGAGGGTGGGAATGGGAGGTGATGGGCGAAGACGATGTTGGAGGGAGGAAGGAGGACGAAGGGGTGAAGAGTCGATGGGGGTGGACCATTGCTGACTCGAACACAGTTGGGACGACGCCACGATCGCAGAACGCTATTCCGGCGAGGTAGGAGAGGAATACAAAGAGCGGCTCTCTGCGAAAGTAGAGGGGAGAGAATACGTCCCCGGCGCCAAGCCTCCGCCCTCGTCCATCCCTCCCGCCAGTAGCACAACATCCCGCTCCCAAACCCCCCTCGGCGCCCGCGCTTCTTCCCCCTCGCACTCGGGAGTAGCGGGCGGCAAAGTCAACGTGGACGATAAATACTTTGCCGGGCTCGGCGCTGCCAATGCCTCTCGCTCCACAGATCTCCCCCCTTCACAAGGTGGAAAATATGCTGGGTTTGGAAGCACGCCCATAGTGGACGAGAGCGCGGAGGCGAAGTTGCCAGGCCTGGATGATCTGCAGCGGGATCCTGTGGCAGCGCTGACGAAGGGATTCGGATGGTTTACGACGACGGTGGGGAAGACGGCGAAGACTGTGAACGAGGGGTACATACAGCCGACGGCTATGAAGGTACCGTCCCCTGCTTACTTACCTGGCCAGAGGCCGGGCTCAAGGGTACCTCGGTATTCGAGTTTGGAGCTCTACCACCTGGGATGGAACGGCTAGGACGATGAGAGAATGGAAAGAGAGACTGATGCGACGTGTGACACTCCAGGTAGCAGAATCCGACCTCGCCGCCCAAGCCCGCATCGCCGCCGCCAACGTGGCCAAAGGCGCGTCCGCGGGTGCCAAAAATGCCGCAGACGGCTTCAATCGCTTCGTAGAGGGGAATGGCGCGGGTGGCGGTAGCGGGGGCAGTTATAGGAGTGTGCCAATTGATGAGAGTAAGAAAGACTTCTGGGACAGCTTTGCTGATGCGGGGGTTCAGAGGCAAGGGGGAAGTGCGATTGGGACGAGTGCTGTGAAGAAGAATGGTAGTGGAAATGGAAATGGTGGGGTGGCGAAGGGGAAGCTGGATGATGCGGATTGGGATAAGTGGTAGTGATTAGGCTTACCCTTGCGTGGTGAGGAAGGGATGGGGTGAGCAGTAAGGGGTTTGAGAGAGATGATGGGCAAGAGGGGGAAGGGAGGGGGAAATGCGTATGTATAGACAGATAGATCCTTGTTATCCTATCTGCAGCGAGCACTAACCATTTCAATGGATCGAAACATCAGAATTAGTTTTTGTTTACTTGTTGAATAAAGCAATAGCAGACCACGGCCTTTTTACCGATCGCCGCCATACATAGGTACCCACACGTCGCAGTCGGAAACGAATACCGTAGGCCCAGGGCCCTGAATCTTGGCTGGTTAGTAACATTTTCCTCATGTCTGTAAATCCTGAACCTCGGTGGGCTTTTTATCCATCAAACGAGACAACTGTTATACATCATACCATATCATATCATCAAATTTTTTTTATTTTTTTTTTGTTTCTTCTCTTTCCTCTACCCTTCTTTCGTTGACCAAGATCGATCCATAACAAAATTGATACTTTAACACTGGACCCAGTCAACTTCCGTGCAGCTCTTTTCGACCTCTTTTTTTTTTTCTCTTTTTTTTTTCTTTATGAAGAGTAGAATATTTATTTACGTGTTACTCTGATTGTGGTTATGGAGAAAGGTTGGGAGGTTATCGTGTGTTATCGTGTGTGGTGTGGGTGATGGGCGAAGATGGAAGCTGAGAAAGAGGGGGGGTTCTGGATGCCTGGAGCATGGACGCATATCTACCGTACCTACTACGTATTACACACATACTGTAGCCTACCTGCTGGCTTCGCATACCAGTAAGTACAGTACATGGGTCGGTAGAGAAATCTGAAAAAGTGGGGATCCTCCCATCGCTTGCGTAGCGAGGTATTGTAGCACCGCAGTGCCCCCCCCCCAGCCGTGCAATATTCGTCGCGGCCCGTATCACCTCACTTGCGATGCATATACCTCAGAAGCCCCTGGTTGTCTCTCGAGCTGCTCGACCGGCAACACACAACTTCTAGCTCTCGTGTTGGGGGCTTCGATCTGGTGCAGTAGTGGATGATGGAAGGGTGCATGCAGCTCGCCGTGTGGGTGTGCTATTTGTTTTGTTTACTGCCTTAGCCGAGCTTGGCTCCGTCACCCGCGCTCCCTGAGACGGCCGGAAGCCGCTGTGCTGTAACCCGTTTTTATTTTTCGAGGCTGCTCTCTTCTTGTCGTCTCCCCTCGATCAGATCTCATCGCAGGCTGGTTTCTCCTGAGACGCGCTTGGGCGATAATGGCAGGCTCCATCGAGACAGCAGACCTCGTGGTCATCGGTGCAGGTTAGAATACACCACATACCCCGCTCCCGCTTCCCATCAAGCTCGTTTCGCGGCGCGTCAGAAACAGAAGATGGGAAACGGTTGACTGACAACACCCTCCGTTCATGACAGGCTGGTTCGGCCTCTCCGCCGCCAAAACCTACCTGCAAGTCCACCCCGCCTCCGAGGTCCTCCTCCTCGAAGCCTCCTCCTCCATCGGCGGCGTCTGGTCGACCGACCGGCTCTACCCGAGCCTCCAGTCCAACAACATGGTCGGCACCTACGAGAGCCCGGACTTCCCCATGGACGAGCCCACCTGGGGCGTCCGGCCCGGCCAGCACATCCCCGCGCAGGTCATGCACGACTACCTCACTGCCTTCGCTCGCGAGTTCGGCGTCCTGACGCGCACGCGCTTCAACTCGCGCGTAGTTAGTATCGAGCGCGGCGGGGAGGGGAGTGGGTGGACGTTGACGGTCGAAGGGAAAGGGGGGGTGGTGGCGGCGGTGGTGTTTGCGAGGAAGCTGGTGCTCGCCACGGGGATGACGAGTCAGGCTTTCTTGCCGGCTTTCGAGGGCAGTGAGGCCTTTGGGAGGCCGCTGTTTCACTGTGGCGAGTTCTTGAAGTATCGGGAGACGCTGCGGACGCTGGAGCGGGTGACGGTGTTGGGAGGTACGAAGGTACGTGATACGTATGTAATGGAGCAGGCGCCTATTCTTTCCTTGTCGTGGGATTTCTTGCTCTGCTCCGGAATGTTTCTTGCTGACTGCCCGGCCGGCATCGTACAGTCGGCGTGGGATGCGGTTTATGCCTATGCGACGCAGGGAGTGCAAGTCGATTGGATTATCCGAGGTCTGTGAATGTCACGGTCGTGGGAGCTTTGGGATTGGCTCATGTGCATGACTGACTGATGGTCCTGGAATATAGAATCCGGACACGGGACTTGCTGGATCTCACCTCCGTATGTCACGCCGTTCAAAAAGTGGCTGGAGAAGCTCATCCACACTCGCTTCTTGACGTGGATGTCCCCTTGTATCTGGGGAGCTGCAGACGGCTATGGCTTCATCAGGTCCTACCTGCACGGCACGGCCGCTGGACGCTTCGTCGTCGACCGCTTCTGGGATATTCTTGGCGCCGACGTTGTCTATCGCATGCAATACGATGCCCACCCAGAAACCGCAAAGCTCAAACCCTGGATGGAGCCATTCTGGACCGGAAACGGCCTCAGCATCCTCAACTATCCGACCCCGTTCTTCGACCTGGTCAAGCGTGGCAAGGTCAGAGTCCACATAGCCGACATCGACCGTCTCGAGAGCGGTAAGGTCGTCCTCTCTAGTGGAGAAAGCATCGAGACGGATGCCATGCTCTGCGCTACGGGGTGGAAACACACATCGCCCATGAAGTTCATTCCTCCCTCCCTCGAAGCCGAGCTCGGCCTCCCCACAGCCCATGGCAGCACTCCCCCCGGGCTCCAAGCCGAATCAGAGCTCCTCACGTCCCGAGCCGACGAAGAAATCCTTTCCAGATTCCCTCGATTGAAGACTCAGCCAAAAGGTAACCCGAAGCTCAAGCCCCTCCCCTTGACCGACGACGATGCCGCGCGGAACGACGCCCTCACTCCGCTGGACCTCTACCGCTTCATGGTGCCCGCCAACCCCACGTTCACGGCTGCGCGCGACATCGCCTTCGTCGGCCACCTGCTGACCATCAGCACCGCCGTCCTGGCGCAGATCCAAGGGCTGTGGGTGACGGCCTATTTTGACGGCAAGCTGGCCGCGTCGCTGCTGGCCACTTCTGAAAACGGCGACGACGACGGCGGCTGCAGAGGCGGCGGCGGGACGGATCTCCGGTACGAAGCGCGGCTGCATAATCGCTTTGGAAGGTGGCGGTATCCGCACGGGTGGGGGGGCCAGATCCCGGATTTCGTGTTTGACAGCTTGCCTTATGCTGACCTGCTGCTGGGGGACTTGGGAGTGAGCTTTAGGAGGAAGAGGGGGTGGTTCCGCGAGGTTGCGGAGCCGTATGGGCCGGAGGATTACGAGGGGGTTGTGGGGGAGTGGATTGATAAGGAGAGGGCGAGGGAGAGGGCGAGGGCGAGGGAGAGGGCGAGGGCGAGGGCGAGGGAGAGGGAGAGGGAGAGGGAGAGGGAGAAGGACGACTGAAAGATGGAGCTGGATAAGGCAATAACAAAAAATTAGTAGTCTTGAAAATAGCACAGCAGAATCTCTTCCTGGCCGAACCAAACCTCCTCGATCCTCGAATATCTCTCCAGAAGTGGACAACGGCACGCAAAATCCCCGACCGAGATCGCCCACTTACCTATTTTGAAACTCTTGTCAGGAAAAGCGTATGTCTTAACATGTACGCATTTGTATCACTTATCTACTCGCTGCCATCCCTAGTCAATCGACTCAGTGCCTGCTCGCCCTGCTCGTCGGTGAACAGGAACCAGCATAGCCGCCTCCCGCCTCGCTTAGTTCCCGGTGTCGAAACAACACTCGAAGAATACTCATACATATATATATATACATATTCATTCTTCTACGTACGCGAAGTCCGATTCGGTACCTGATGAGAGAGTTCTGGAAGAGACTCCTGCTTCGCTGCTGCGACCGCCTATTGCCCAACGTGCTACGCTGCCTGTACCCTGCCGAGAACAAGCAGTCGCAGCTTCCGCATCGGGAAAAAGGTAGTCTGGATCGTAGTGGTGAATAGGTAATCGTGATGTTGTCTTCCCTCTCAATGAGGCTTGTGCATATTTGAGGCATGAGCTTGCCTCTTGTTGGGTTTAGGATTAGGGTGAGGGTTATATATTGCAGCCGATCGATTCGGAATCTGGAAGCTGTCATCCCGTTCCCCTATCCCCTCCTAAGCCTCCCAGGTCAGGTTGATAGATAGGTCTCTCGTGCCGCTTCGACCACCCAAAATATGTCCAGATGTAACGTGAGATCGTTGCCGCGTTCGGATGGTGCTACAGTCTCGACGCACGACCTTGGGCTTTGAGCAACAGTGCGTACAGTGTGATCCATAACATTTGTGGGTGTAGATCTTGCCATTCGTTTTCTACGTGTTCCTCTGGCTGGTCGATCAGTCATTCTTCCCGTCGTGTGAGGTCTTCCCGTCTCCGTCGCTGCCGATCCGTGCAGCTTGTTGTTGTTTGGCCTCGAGACCGCTGCCGGGTAAGACAATCTGGGAATGCAAGAGTTTGGCGGGTTTGGTTTGGAAATGGGCAGATCCAATATAGCTTGGTTTGTCTTTTGTCCAAGTTATCTTGTGGGAGCTGGATGAATGACGGGGGCAGATTGGATGTGCGACTGTGAGGAGTTATTCTCCCGGTCGGCTACTGACTCTCACTTTTCTCCCTATATGGGCGCCGGACCAAAAATAAAAATCTCAAAATACATTAAAAAAAATACAAAAAATACAAAAAATACAAAAAATACAAAAAATACAAAAAATACAAAAAATATAAAAAATATAGAAAATACAAAAAATACAAAACTCAACTGGAAGCCCATACATGATGAGGTTCCAGTCTACAAACCTAACTCAATAGGTTTTTCGATATGTCATAGTCGCGTGTGGGCAGTTGTCGCATATGGGCTTTTCCAGAATCTACACCAACTGGACAGGAACTTGGAAGCGATCAAGCCGCTAAGCCATCGCCCCGAGTTCCGCCAGTTGATGGTGGGCAGCCGTAGGGTTTGTTAAATGAAGTAAGCGAATTCTTGTTGAAGGGCGGGCGGCGAGAATGGCCTAGGCGAGGAGGCAGGTGGGTGGGCAACGCGATCTTCGTATTCAACTGCAATTTTTCTATACCTTGAAGACTGATAGATAGAGATAGCCTCTAAAGATTTAGAATTTCCGCTGTGCGACTTTTATTGGGAGATGGAACCTGCGGAGGAAGCAAAGTGTGGAGGTGTATTTTGTTTTGATATGGGTAGGGAGCTGTGTTTGATGTGCTGACTTCTCAATGCTCGTCTCGTGATAAATATAGTATGTGATATGGGTAAGTAATAGCTATTTTCTGTCGCATCCTTGTGCAATGGAGCAGAGCTGTTCCACGTCAGTAAGCTTCTGATTTCTGAGTCGGCTCCGCCTTGGTGCGCACTTAAACCTAGCTGCACTCGCAAGTGGCAGGTCATCAACGGTCGAAGAGTTCAACACCTTGAAAACTTGGGGCGAGTGTAATTCTTCTCCTATGCTGTCGCTGGCAGGTCGACTCCGGCCAGCGATCAGGTTGATTGGCGAGGAGTGATACTCAAAAGAGGAGGACACGGATTTGTGAGTAAAATTCCAGTACCTGCTGCAGGCTGACTACCGGTACCAGTATCTGAGGCTGCGTTGCTACCTTACAGTAGCGCGCCAATCGACGGGTGATCATCGCAGGCGGGAGCTGATCGCTTTGGTTGGAAGAGAGGTGATCTGTTCCTGGTTCTGGGGACTCTACAAAATTGCTACGGAGTACAACCCTAAAGATGTGCCCCTAAAGTAGAAATTCGTCACCCTCTGACAATTAGTAGTCGCAGTTCAGCTCGAGACGGGCTGGATTCAACGATTGTTTGTCGAAAGGCCTGCCGACATTGTGGGCAGTATATGGTTTGGAGGCTGATTGTTTCCCTTCATATCGATTCAGCTAACACAGTCACTGATGAGCGATCATGTAAAGATTCTTGGCCCAGAGCCTCATATACCTCTTACCTCCTCCAGGGGCTGGCATCACGGGATATCTTTCGTATCAGTCTGGACCGCTTCACACGAATTGATTCGGAGAGAAGGCTTGGGCAGAACACAATGCAAGAAATTGAAAAGGGGAATATTTCTCATCGAAGTGCTGGACGAGCAATTGCGGGCGGAATTTTCTCTCCAGATTGTTTAAATGCACGCATTCTTACCGACTTGAGGTATCTTAGTCTGTCAAGACCTTTTCCAGATTCCACCTCTCAGATTCCCACAAGTCATAACTCCTACTCATATACGTTTATCCTGGATCTCGGCAGCGTGGTGCGTTTCGCTGATCGGTTCTGCTGGACGATCGTCATGCGGCTCCTTTGCAGAGTCGGTGGCACCGGTGGACTCGAACACTATACGACCATGTTTAGTAACAATCAGGGAAGGAATGGAGCCGAATATTTCTCTGAGCATTGGATGGGAAGGTACTTCCAGTCAATAGGTGTCGTGGCGAGCGTGTGTTTGAGGCCTATTCGACATGTATGACCGGCATAGGCTTGCCCACATTTCCTCTCTCTTCCCCGGGGTCGGGGTGGTAGATATCTTGATGATCTGATTATGGAGCAAGCAGACAGAGACAGAGGGATCTCTTGAAGCTGCCCTAGCGATCCGATCCCAAGCGTATATGGCATGAGGTGTTGTTATAAGCGATGCACGCTTCTCTGATGCCAAGTCTGGAAGCTCCAAGTCCGCATGCAGAGCTGATGGCTGATGGCTGACGAGCGAGCTGAGCTGCATGTCGAACATTTCGAGGGGAACGGCTCTCTCGTCTCTCGAAGAGAATTCTTCCACCAATGGAATTAAGACGTAGATGGCCAGAGTATTGCTGAGAAAAGCGTTGTGGTGAGGCACAGTCGGTACATCTGGCTGGCTGACTGGTTGACTGGTTGACTGGTTGACTGTCGTATTTCCACATCTTCTCGTCAAAGGCCGAAATATTTTCTTGCAACTCCCATTATCACCACTTGAGTCGCCAATTTCTGGTGCTATCGAGGTTGAAAGAAGCTGTCGAATTTTGCCAGTAAAGGCCTCCCTCCCTCTGTGTCCCGCGCGAAATGGGGTAGGCAATACTGAAGCCTACCGCTGGTCAATCTTTTGTCATTGGTACATCACAGGTCTTAATCTAGCTTACCGATGAGTGCAGATTGAGGCATCAGGTACGTACAGGTAGTGTGTTGGAAGCGAGGTGTCAAGGTCTAGGGGTCTGACATGTCGAATCTCGCCATTTCAGAAAATTCAAAGATATACATATATATATATATATGTAGTACGTATCGAAGAAGTAAAAAACATTGAACGGGCAACAAAGAAAGATTGGAGCTGCGAAACATGCATGTGACCTCTATGGGCAAAAGAGAGGCAAAAATCTCTGTTAGATCTGACCTACGCAGGGATCGAACCTGCAATCTCTTGATTGAAATGAGCTGCCTCAGCTGATTCGTAGTCAAGCGCCTTGCCATTGGGCCAGCAGGCCATCTATCCTGATTGGATGCCGACGAGGCGACCTCTGAGTTACACATACCTCCCAAAAAAAATTGCAAATGAGATCCACCTGCTCCTCGGCATCGATGTCCTGGTGGAGGTGTACGGAGTACCGGTAGAGCATTGCCGCCAGGATAGAGACTTGAACAAGGTCTAGCATCTGAGATACGCCTTAGACGATCAGTTGAACCGTTCCCCGGTTGAAGACGATAAAGCTGCAATTACCTCCGGTCAATTTCTAGGCCGAGAGAGTCGCGTAGAGGAAAAAGAGTCGAGATGTGGTCGTCGTCAGAGCGAGTCTACCCGATATCTACCTAGGGATCATGCCAGCTGGGAGTGGGCCATGTGGGCAGGCTACGACACTGAACGCCTGCGACCTACCAATCAATCAATCACAATCAGCGTAAACAAATAAACAAACAAACAAACAAACGAATAAAACAAAATCCTGCTATGAAATCTTCCCATGCAAAAATTCAGATGATAGAAATCATTTCCCATACCACACCACCAAGTCTGTCTGTCTATCTGACATTTTCGGCCGGCCATGGATTTGTAGTACCCTCGGAATCCCGAAGTTGATCCATTTCCTCCCCACAATCTACTAATAGTGGGCCTTGACGTCGCAACTTTTGGGGCCCTTCCTTAAAGTGGGCGAAAAAATTATGTCCCGCGAAAAAATTATGTCCCGCTTCAACGCTAAAAATCGCGGGGAACGTAGACACTTATATTGCTCATAACATTGCTCACAACGTTGCAATAATATATATATATATATATTTAATAATGTTATTCATTCTCAATTAAGCTACGAAAAAATTATTTCACCGCGTGTCCTTTAAATTGAATTAAAAGATGCTATAGATCGAATCGATATCGAATTTTCTTTCTCTTCAAGCTCTTTTTTAAGCTCTTCCTACTTAGTAAGCATCATTTTTGCTAAAGAAGACGAAGGTAAGGTATTTAATCTTTTATCTTCGTCGTCATCGCTAATTTGAATGCAAGATAATAGGTTTTGTTTGATTCGAAAGCGTTTTTCTTTTGTAAGGATTTGAAGATCGATTGAATACGAAAGGTCCGCGAATGTAGCAAGATCTTTTTCTTAAACTTCTTTTAACGCAGCTTTTTCGTTTGCAACTGCGTCTCGAAAAGAAATCAAATCAATATTATTAGCTTCTAGTTCTTCTGCTATAAGTTGCTTTTCGCGGTCTCGAATAAGGACTTCTCGTTCGAGTGGAATGTGTATAGGAATCTTTCGATCTTGTTGCTTATACGCTTCGTTCAACTATTTCTTTCGCTCTTTTTCGGCTTTCCGATCAAGAACTCTTTGATTATAACGATCGTTTCGAATTTTAATCGTTGCTGACTTGAGTTTAGCGTTCGCTATCTTAAGACTAGCTTCTTGCTTTTTTATCTTTATAGCCTTGACTTTTTCGAGTGCTTTAGAAGCTAGTATATTCTTTTCCGTTTGCAAACTCGACCTTTTAATCAGCTTTTTCCGATGTGTATCGCGCTAAAGCTTTTGATTTTTATCGAGTTCTGCTTGATCAAGGCTTCTTCGTAATAACTAAGTCTCGGTACCTTGTTTCGCGATATCGAAGCGTTAGCGGCTAAGAGAAGAAAGAGCTATTCTGATCTTATCGTTCAGATCGTCGAGTTGCTTTACGCAATCTTGAAAAGATTAAAGAGGTCGAGGTAGCGCAAGAAGAGGTAATTCGTCAGGTTGCTTATCGATTGAAAAAGAATATTCATCTTCTTTAAGATTAAACGTTTCTTTGTACTCGAGTATATGCAATCCCGCCTCTTTCTTACTCTTTTTATTATACTTTTTTAATTTGCGTTGAATTTGAGAAAAGCTGATCGGCCACATTCTTGCATTTCGAAAAGCGTGTTTGATATTCCGAGTTGTAAAGGTTTGCTCGCGAATTTAAAGAAGGTCTCGCATAAACGATAAGATAGTATATTCAGCTTCGAAGCTTCGAATAGCATTTATAATAGCATATTATTAATTATGTTTCTAAGTGCGAAAGCAGCCGACATCGAGAGGTTGTAAAAGATGAGTTTAATAAAAAAGGAATTTGATAAGCTATATACGATTTTGTTTAGCTAGTAGAATGAAATTTGAAGCTTCGTAGCAAAGCTGACCATCAAGTAATAATATCATCCACGGTTTATCGGGTCTTTGATCGGTATGCTTAATAAAGTGCTTAAGCCACTTTATAATAATCTTATCGTTCGTATAACCGGATTCGGAAACAGTAACAACTTTATATCTAATTATCTTTTCGGAAAACCAAGACGCTATAATTTGCTTTCCGAGCACAATAATCATTAGAAGAATAGCTTTTCTATCGGCAAGAATAGCTTCGATCACAGTTACGGATAGTCGATTTTCACAGATTCTTGTATACATCTCTTTGATTCCGATAGGTACGATAACTTCTTCTTCGGCCGGCATACAAATCCGCGCGCCTTTCTCATCTATATTTGCGATTCTATGCTTATCTTTAAGCTTAATTCCGCAGAACTAAATAACAAGAACAAGCTCGGTATAGAACTAATTAGAGAAAGATTTCTCGGTATGCATATCGACGCGATGAGATGCGATTAGTTTAGTCCGTATAATATAAAGTTCTGCTGTATTTCTTAACTAAGATTGAAACCAACGCTAAAAAGGTTCTGGCTTATTTTCTTGTATTTTAAGGTAGCAAATGCATCGATAAAGCATACGCTTAGTAGCTCTTTTCCTTTTTTTAATTGCTTGATCTGCGGCGTAAATTAAAATAACTTTGTGCTGTGCTGCTAATAGAACTATAAGCCTCTTTACTTATAGCGCTTTCCTTTCTTTCAATCGAGCTTGTTTAGCTTGATACCTATTCCATCTTCGCTTTAAAGTATCAAGCTTCTCTATCATATGAATGCGACTCGTAATAAGAAATGTTTCGGAAGGGTTTTCGAAGAGCTATTCGAATGTTAGCTGTATTCGCTTATGTTGAGAAGCTTTTAAGAGCTTCTAGTATTCAGAATTAAGATCAAGAGGTGCAAGAGCGCGCGCGCGTTTTTTGCTTATTTTTATTTAGGTACGTAGGTCAATGTTTGATGGAAAATGTTGTGTTGAAGTGTTGTTGAAGTGTCTACGTTCCTCGCGATTTTTAGCGTTGAAGCGGGACATAATTTTTTCGCGGGACATAATTTTTTCGCCCACTTTAGGGAAGGGCCCCAAAAGTTGCGACGTCAAGGCCCACTATTAGTCTGCTACCGTACCTAGTCTACCTACGTGCTCCTACCGTACTGCAGTGAGCAAAGCTAAGCATCCGCTTCAAAATCCCACTAACTCCAACTTAACCCCCACCTCGCTCACCCGCCTCATCCAAGTAGATCTGCAGCCTTCTTGGCTTAGTTGGTTAAAGCGTCGGTCTCATATTCGTATGATCTGCCTGTTCAACAGTTGCAGAGTTATCCGAAGGTCGTGAGTTCGATTCTCACAGAGGGCAGATCTTGTTCATCTTTTGTTTGGATTTTGGATGCTTGGATGAAGGTAGGAAAGGGAATCAAGAGTAAATGGTGAATGAAATGAGTGTCAATGCGAGTACTTCGTTGCATACTGTAGTTCTGTGTCAGAGACGGGGGAAGCAAAGAGGGCTTTCCCCCCCTCACCCCCCTTTTTTCCCTTTTTT